TTCTTTCTTTCTTTCTCTTTCTTCTTTCTTTCTTTCTTTCTTTCTTTCTTTCTTTCTTTCTTTCTTTCTTTCTTGTGTCTCTCCCCCCACTTATTTTCTTTCTCTTCCTTCCTTTCTTCTTTCTTATCTCTCTCTCTCCAACTTTCTTTCTCTTTCTCATTCTCTCTCTCTCTCTTTCTCTCTCTCTCATACAAACACACACACACACACCATTTCCCTCATGTCTGCCGCTGACAGCTCTCAAAGAAAAGGAAGAACTCCTGCCTTGGGAAGGGGTTGGACTAGATTACCTCCATGTTCCCTTGCATCTCTCTATGTTCTCTGTCTCATTTAGTCACAAACAGCTTCATTTATTTTAAAGTTGGTCGCAAACTTCACTCAGTCTGCGCGTGTCCTGGTCCCACCCAAGGAGGTGAGCTGTGGGGCAGGGAAAAGGGGGGAGTCTGTGGCTCCATGTCGCTTGATCTTCTTCCCTGCCTCAATTCTGCAGGCAAGAGGTGCTGCTGCTGAGGTGGCGCAGCGGTAATTGCGGCGGAGGAGGAGTCGGGGCGCTGCCCGCCAAACAGCACGACTCACAGCTAGCCCAGGAGCAATAGCCACCACCACCACCAGCCACCCTGCATCACTATCACTTGCTACCACTCAGGCCAAAGGCCAGGCATGCAGAGGGCATGTGACAGCAGTGATGGCAGCTGAGCAGGGGCAGCGCTTTGGTGGATGCTGAGGGAAGGAAGGAATGAAGGAGGCTGCAGGCTCCTTTGCCTCAGCTGCACGACCTCATTTCATTCTCTGTCTCCCTACTTCACTCGTTTGGGCAGCAGAGAATGAAAGGAGGTCGCGTAGTCGAGGGCAAATGAGCCTGCAGCTTCCTTTCTTCACATGTTTGGGCAGTGGGGAGGGCTTTCTCACATGCCTTCTTTCTTTCTCCGAAGGCGTGCGAGAAAGCCCCCCCCCCAACTGCCCGAACGTGTGAAAGAAGCTATAGGATCATATTCCCTCAGCTACGACCTCCTTTCGTTCTCTGCTGTCTGAACGAATGAAGTAGGGAGACAGAAAATAAAACAAGGCTATGCGAGCTGTGAGTGCCTCCACCTGTGTACTGGACCCGTGTCCCTCCTGGCTGGTTGCCAACTGCAGTGAGG